GCAGCAGCGCCAGTGTTCAACCTGCACCCGTTCCAGTCGCGCGCGCGCCGCCCGTCGATGGGCGCCCGCAGCGCCTCGAGCTACGAACTGTATAAGCGCAGCTTCGCGTGCCCGGACGTGCCCATGGAGGCCGAGGACGACGATCTGTTCGAGGACGACGACGGGAATGGCTGGTGCAGGAGGAGGAGCACGGTGGCGAGTGTGCAGGTGGCGCCGACGGTGGGGTAACTTAAGCGTGCCTTTCATGTGTATGTTTTCTTTGCGTTTTGCTTGCTCGTGCCTTGTTCAATTTTGTATTTGTACGCGCATGTGTTTGTGTTGCAACTCGCCTTGCTGCCAGCTCTTTCTCTCTCTCTCTCTCTGCGCAGTGTGCGAGTCTCTGAGATCGGGTCAAGTGAGAGAGGCATCGCGTCGTCTCAGAGTCACAGGTCGGCCGTTCGCACACACTCGACAGTCAAACCTACTTTGAAAGCCGACAGGTGTGAATTGCACATCTCAGCAAGGGTATACCGTATCCATCCAAATCCCATCCCCCCCTCACCCTCTACTCCCCCCGACCCTCCCGCCCAAACTCGTCACCGCCTTGCTATCCAACGGCAAGCCCGTATTCGGATCAATGTTGTTCTGCACCAGGATCTGCTTATGCCTGATCAGACGCGCCTGGTCGAACGTCACCCCCTGATTCGCCATGATCGTCTGCACGTCCTGTGCGCCCGACGGATCGAGCCCAGACCGCGGATCGTTGGCGTCAATGTTGGCCGTGATGTCGAACAGCGACGACGAGAGGCCGTTGGACAGGTTGGCGCCCCACGAGCTGCCGGGGATGGGTGCGTACTGCGAGGAGCGTGCGGTGAAGCGGTTGTAGAGACGGGAGAAGAGCGAGGAGGAGGGCGCGGAGGACGCGTGTGAGAGCGGCAGGTCGGATGCTGCGGGTTGGAGCGAGTCCGGGAGGCGAGCCGCGACGGATTCGGGCAGGAGCGAGACGAAGAAGGAGCGGTTGCGGTAGACGAGGATGAGGACCGCGATGAAGAAGGATGCGGTGAGGAGGCTGTGGTACATCTTGGCGGTTGCTTCGTGCTGAAGGCTAGGCTGTTGAGTGTGGGTGTTGGTGGTAGTGTCGACCCACGGTCTTTCTGCGCTAGCGGCGCCTTTGCTGCGCTTCCTTACGAGACACAAAGAGCTTGTCGATGCTGTTTGCGGCGTTGACTCCAGTACCAATTGCAGAGATGCGTCGAGGACCCAGGTTCAAGCCGGATCTCTTGTCTCCGTTCGTGTCACCGATCTTCACAGAGATATACGCCGAGATCGACGACCAGTCTCCTGGGTCGCAATCGTCAAGACCAACCGTCGGACGACCAACTAGCTTTGCGGAGACGGCGTTTGTTCGGCCCAAGTCTGGACCGCCTGCACGCTCTCCGGGCAGTCGGACTCGCAACAGCCAGACCTGTCTTGCGGCGTTTGCTCCAGAGAATCGGAAGCGGCAGCGAGGACTACAGCACTTGTGTCCGAGTGACAGAGCAATGAGGGTGTGGCGCTGAGCTGCAATCCGGGCGTGTCTGGAACGGAAACCCGAACGAGTGGATGCTTCGACGAGTCGATCTAGACCTAGACCTTTGCTTGCTCGAAGTGATCGCCGTTCCGAATCGGAGAGTTTGTCGGGTTGCCGATCTTATTGTTCGGACGACGGTGAGACGCCGTTGCGTCGGACTGATCCAGCCAATCGTGTTTGTTGATGGTGGTAAGGACGACGGAGCGCGAGGTCTAGACTTGTCCGCCAAACTCAGCCCAAAGGCCGGATGGCGCGTGCGTGCGTGCATTTTTCACTCCCTCCGTTCCCCGGAAGACACACACAAAAATAAATAAATAAATAAATAAGGCTGTGTGCACCGGATGCGGGTCACCTGACGAAGCCTGGCCTGCTTTCAATGCTACATGTACGCTGCAATGCGCCATGCTGCAGATAAGCGGCTGGTTGGTGAAGTGGCCTAACACACTGGTTTTAGGAAAAAAAAGCCAAATCGCCTTTTGCGGTTGCAACGACACACTGTTCCGATACCAGGATTCCTGGGTTCGAATCCCAGACTAGTCAATTTTCTTTTGCTGCCACTTTTTGTGAAATCATCGAAGGCCTTCAGTCGTTGTACAGTAGAGCACACAAGAGCCGGGCGGATGAAAGCGTCGAGAAGATGAAAGTGATTGAAATGGCTGCTTGCAAACAGGCACAGAAAAGAACCTCCCTCTCCACCTCAAGACGCGCTCGGAAACACAGCAAACGTCTCGCTCGCCGGGATCCGCGCCGACTTCTGCAGGATCTCCTCCTCGATCTCGAGCGTGCCCAGCTGCAGCAGCGTATAGTCGTTGCTGATCGAGCGTCTCTTGGCCACCACTCCCGCCGGCGCTGCCTTGCTTACCCCTTGCTCCTCCTCGTCGGTCCGCCCCAGCGCGCCCATCTCGGCAAACGTCGGATTGAACAGACTCATCGGCCGCGCGCGCTTCCCCTGTGCGCCTCCTTTCAGCCTTTCAACCCCGTTCGCCGCCTCCGAGGGCTTCAACAGTGAAGCGCGCCTCGATGCGGGGGAGGCCAAGTTGTCGACCATGTCGCGCGTCTGGCGGTGCGCGAGCTGCATGAGCTTCTCGTTGGCGCGGCGCAGCCGCTCGCCCTCGGCCTGCAGCTCGTGGATAAACAGGTCTTTTTCTTCCACCTTGCGGCGCAGCGCGTCGAGCTGTGCGGCAAACTCGCGCTCGACGTCCTCGCGGATCTTGGGCGGCGCGTCGGTCGCCTGCGCCTCGCACACGGCCTCCAGCTCGCGCACCTGCTGCTGCAGCGTCGTGATGAGCTGCACCTGCGCCGCGGGCGCCGAAGGGAGCGAGGGGCGCGCCGCGAGCTTGCATGTCAGCGTCTCGATCTTGCGGTTGGCGAGGAAGAGCTTTTCCGCAAGCAGGTGCGGCGGGTCGTCAAAGCCAAAGTTGTACGAGCGCTTGATGGGCGAGACGGGTCGTGCGAATGCGGTGGTGGTGGTGGAGGACGAGTGGGAGGCCGAGCGCGAAGTGGTCGGGGTCGAGGCGGAGGTGAACCCGCTCGTGCTCGTGCTGCTGTTGCTGGGCGTGCGTGACTGCTGCACCTGACCGTCCTCGTCGTCGGACGCGTCCACCACATCACCCTCGTGCGTACGTCCACCACGAACCACCAGCGACCCAATCACATCCAGCCGCTCCTGCAGCTCGCGGATCCGCTCGTCGTCCACCTCGACCACCTCCACCTGCTGCTGGCTCTGCCTCCCGCCGTTCCGCTGCAGCTCCTCCACCATCTTGCGCAGCGCATCCGCCTCGGTCTGGTACCGCAAAATAAGCGCCTGCGCCTCGGCACCGATCCCGCCACCCAGCGAGCCGTCCACCTCGTTCCTCCTTGCGTTCAGCCCGACCTTCTTGATGCGCTTGGCAAAGTTGAGCGTCGACAGCGACTCGTCCACCGCCGCCGGGTTGGGGTTGATCGTGCACACCACCGCGACGCGCGCGTGGCCCGACAGCGAGTTCTGCAGGATGCGCGTCAGCTTCGAGTCGCGGTACGGGATGTGTGCGCCCGCGCTGTTGGGCGACGACGATTTCTCGGACAGCGCATAGATCACTTTGCCGAGCGTGAGGAGCGACTTGTTGATGTGCGCACCTTCCGCGCGACGGTCCGAGCCCTGCGAGACGTACTTTTCGCTGCCGGCCAGGTCGATCAGGCACAGCTCCGAGACGGTCACCTTCTTGCCTAGGCGCGTTTCTGCACTGCCTGCCGACGCGTCCTGATCGCTGCGCTCCCACGACTCGATGGTGATCTTGAAGCACGTATGCGATCGGCTGCTGCGTTCGTTCCAGTCTGTTGCTCCGACGTGCCGGTTGGCCTGTCCACGCGCAAGCAGCTCCCGGACCTTTTCCGGGCTCGTCACGATCTCCTCGCGCAGCGGCTGGACCGTGGTGCCCTTGCCGCCTCGCTTGCGCTTGTCGTCGCGCACCTGGGGCACGTTGCTCGGCTCGAGCAGATCCTTGACCACCTCGTTCCAGATCTCGAGGTAGCTCGCGCGCAGAAGATACTCGCGGCGTGCGGAACTCTGCTGGATCCCGCGGAAGATATCGCGCACTGCGCGAGGGATGATGCCCGCCTCTTGGCCCTTTTCATCGCCGGACAGCGTGAACGTTTTCCCGGACGCCGTCTGGCCGTACGCGAACACGACAGCGTCATAGCCGTCCAGCGCCGCACGCACGAGGGGACGCGCGACCGACACGTAGACGGGTCGGTTGGCTGAGCCTGTCTGGATGCCGTCGAACGTGAACGGGCCCAGATTGGCGCTCTGCGTGCGCCCGCTGGCGATCGCAGCCTCCAACGCCACCGTGCCGGAATACGGGTTGGCCACCCACGCACACTCCTCGCCGCGCTTGGGCGGGCGCAGTCGCACGTGCACCTGGACCGTTTCGTGTCCATTAGTCTCGGCTTGGGCGTGCGCAGGGTCGGCATCTGCATCGTAGACAAACGAGCTGTCGCCGGCGTTGTGATCTGCATCGTCCGTGTTGAATGCCGCGTGGTGCTGCCAGGTCGAGGACGAATGCGCATATGCCCCCATCGCCTTTTCGACGTCTTTGCTGGACTGCTGCAGCGGATGTGCGGGCCGTACGTTGGATCCGCCGAGCGACACAGCCTGAGTGGCGGTGGCCCTCAATACCGACGTGGAAGCATGCTTTCTTGGCGATCGAATGCGAGCTGCAACATCAGCCGAAACAGCAGCCTTGATCTTGGGCGTTGCGGGTGCGGCTGTAGTAGCAGCAGCTGCTGATGCTGTGCGTGCCGCCATGGTGGTCGGCGTATGCGATCGGGGTCTTGTTTGCAGCTGAGGCTCCCTCGCTTGCGGTGTGGGTGTGATGAACGCGGATCGAGTCTTGAGCACCGGAGTCGTCACAGCCGAGACAGGCGCGCTGAAGGTCGGCGTGTCGACGGTGAGCAAGCCAGGGCTTCGATCCGTGGAACGGGCTGTTCGAGGTGCTGTCCGTTGAGCGGATTCGTTCGGAGAAAGATGACGTCCAGTCCTCGCTTTCGATGCTGGCGCTGATGCGAATGGCGAGGCGTGTGAAGTGGTTTCCAGCGCAGAGGCAGGTCGAGTGTTGACACCGAAACTCTGGTCGTCCGTGGTAGGCGAGACGATGTTCGGCAGCGAGTCGGCGCTGCTACTCGCTTCAGCAATCAGATAGGCGTACGGTGCCGGTTTCGTAGGCTTCCTTTTCGGCACGAAGGGTTCACGTGCAATCGAGGCAGTCGAAGAGCGGCGGTCGTCGTCAGCAGAATCTGGGGAGATGATCGGCGAAGAAGCGTCTTTGGCGGTGGCTGCTGTAGACCGCGTGACGGCAGGTGACATTGGGGTCGAGTCGAAAGCCTAGCAATCAGGCGTTCTGCATGCGCGCGTTGCTGCAGGCGAGAAAAAGAGGTCGGTGGGTCCAGTATGCAGTGCAATGAGGCATCTACGGGGTGGGGCGTTGCGCTATCCAGATGCCGATAACGTCGGCAGGGTCTATGTTTGCGAAACGAAGGTATAGTTCCAGAATCCAAGAGAGGCGGGTATGAGAAGAGACCGTCTAGTGACCTTGCCGTGATCGTCCGAAATGTCGTCGTGAGAGAAGCAAGTGCAGGTCGAGAACGAGGATGGCTGCGAGCGGAATGTGCTTCAACTTGGCCGTTGCAAAGTGGCACAAAAAGACCGACACTTTTTCCACTGCAGCCAAACACGCGTGTGTCGATGTTCGCTGCACGTGATGAGTCGAAATTTTGCAGTTGCAACTGCCACGGTCTAACAGTGTTCCGATTTTTCTCCTGGCCTTGCTTCAGCACGCCAAGGTCTCTCGCTCTATCCCCATCGCCTTCTCGGTCGAGCTGGTCTAAAGACCGTCGGGTAGAATGGAGGCTGCTTGTGAGAAGAAGTGAGTATGGGTATCTCGCAAAAGAATGTAAAATTGTACAGTGTACGGCAAGCAACAGAGGCAAGCACTTTCTCCTACTCTCTACGATGGCGACGCTTCCACAACAACCTCGCAGCCAAGACTACACCTGCTACCATCCCAACAACTCCTAGTCCCAGCAGTACTGACAGAAAAGGCATATCTCGCAGAACCTCTTGCAACGCATCACCTTCAAAACGGCGTGCGCGGTGAAAGTGAATGCCAGGAGCAGAGGCGCCCCTATCTGGCGACCGGGCGAGCTTTGCAATCATCAACGCTGACATGGCGCTGCAGTAAGCCATTGCGACTGTCATAGCCACCGAAGAGTAGAGAGGGAGCTCAGTGCGCATCGAGAAAAGTAGATGACTCTGTAGAAGCAGCCCGTCGAGGAGAAGAAAGAGCGCTGCTGCGACGAGTGGGAGTGCGGGGCTGATGACGTGCCACAGATAGCACGCTTCGAACGTGAAGAAGAGTGCCTGGTAGACGACGACGAATACGCTCAACGCAAATGTAGGCCATGACCAGTGCGCCGTGCTCGGCTTGAGACACCCTGCCGTCGCGATCTGCACCGCGTCACCACTGGCGACGTCACGCTCCGCATCGGCGTACCCCGCACCGACAGGGACAGAAGCTGCTCGAGAAGCAGAAGCGCGCCCAGCAGAGTGTCTACCCGGATGTTCGTACACAGTAACAAGACGTGCAGCAAGCACCGGGTCTGCAAGCGATTGACGACGCTGCTGCGCTTCCACGTCGAAACTCTGGTGCCGACGGCGGATCGAAGAGGTCCGAGGACCGATCGAGATGTTGTTGAGCGTTGTGCTTCGCCGGTGAGCATAGGCAGAGCTGCCATGCCGATGCGGGCTCGTGTCCCTCTGATGTCTGGTGTTGATCGAATTCTGCTCGAGCTGCAACAGCAATCGATCGACGCCACCGGGCGGGCTCGCGATCGTGTACCCGCCCGAGCTGCTTCTGCTGTGCCCCGCTCCAGCCTGTCCATTCGACGGCCGAGCTTTCGTCTTTTCGCAAACGTCTGGCGCACATGGACCCGGTCCAGCACAGACCAAGCTCGGATCTGCACTCGAGCCACTCTGACTCAGCCCGTGTCCACCATCACCCTCGATC